TAAGTAGCAGTACACGGTTCTGAAATAATTGTTAGAAATATTTAAAGCTGGACTGAGAATGGCAAATCTATTACTCCCACACCTTCAAGTGAGCATAAATTCATATTGAATTCACATTAAATTTTGCTAGTCTTTCGAAACAGTGTAGTTTATTGAAGAAATATATATTTTAGTTTTATCTAGATCTGGGACTAATAATGTAACTTTCTGTCCGAGTCTAAATGCATCCCATATTTTTTTTCTTGACCCTTGCTTTATTTCGACAAATTGGATGCTAAATGACATTCATCAATTAGATAAATAACGAGAGCACAACACGACGCTTGTGTCAATAAAGAGACTGAGTCAATAATAATGTTCATTTCAACAACTTGAAAGCGATATCATATAAGCAGATTTTGCCAGTTCGGATTTAAAATACAAATAGCTAGAATATATGTGATTTGTATTTTGTTAAATTTACAAGTAAAAGCAAGTAAATACATACCATTGTCACTAACATCATATAACGTAGACAGTCTTTCACCAGGTATAAATCGCTAAAATTTAATAATGACCTAACTGATAAGGAAACTCTCAAGAGTTAACGCAATCTCAGTTGCCAAAAATGAAATTTAATAGCTGTACAACGGAGACATCATCCTACTTTTGGCGACCAAAAGGTTTAAATTAAGAATGATAACATTTTTTAACAAAGGTGCCAATGTCATGAGACATTTTGTTATCTGCTGAACTTTAAATGTTTATCACCTGAGCAAAGAAGTAGTGAAAGGGAAATTATTCGTCGTAAAAGTAGCACTCTGTAAACAAAGTAGTGTTTGATTTTTAAATTTGTGTTTGTTACTTTATTATCTGCCATGATTTGATTTTACAGTTGTTTTTGCGGAATGTTTGTATTTTCTTTCAGTTATTTCTCTTTCCTTGCAAAAAATGTTCAAAACTAAATTGTTTTAAACATAATGTATAATATAATGACTGAAAATAAAATAGAAAAAAATATGATTAAAAATAAGGTATCAATGCGCTTAATACTAAATTTTCTGTCCCTGAAGGTGACATAATGCGAAATAATCATAAATTGAATTTGTTGACATATGTGAGATACATGATGGGTTATTTCCTATATTCATATAGCGGATTATAAAATGCGCATACAAATAATATATTACTACGCGTGTGCATAAAAATAAATCATTGTGCTTTGTCTTTTTATCATATTTCTCGATTCAAATGTAATAGATCTACTAAAGTTCAATTCTAACACGCTTCATACAATTCACCAATCGAACAAATAGGACAGTCAAATGCATTATAAAACAATTTATGCACAGCATAAAAAGGTATGTTTACACGTCATATGACATCAATAAACCAAATGACGTCTGGAAAATAACGTCTACTCATTGTAGTTCAGCGATGCTTTAGCCATTCTCTTTTATATTTGCATGTTTTATTGGAAAAAGATATATACTCAACATCGCTAATTTCGCGTAATCACTTATTGCACGGTTATGGAATATTTCAATGTGACTTTTGTTAAAATTGGTCAAAATTGGCCTATTTTAGTCATACATACATTTTGTATAAACAACAAAGTTTTTGTGCAAAATAAAATAAACGGAAGACAGATCAACATTTCACTTATTTTTGCAAAATGACAACATTAGTTGAAATGTGTGCATATGTCTGAAACAATCATTTTCTTCTTGTTCTTGTTTGTTGAAAAAAATAATTTTCAGTTACAAAATATGATAGTGTGAATTTTTAAAACTGAGCAATATAACATGACGTAATTTTTACTGAATCATGAAAAAACTAGTGTGACACAATTTATCGCGATTTAAATGATGACATTCTGTTTTCAAAATGGCCGACCTATGATCTACGTTTTGACCATTAAATCTAATTTTGATTGAAAATGTTGTTGTTTTCATGTGTCATACAGCAGATTTTTGTACAGTATGTACATTGTTTTGGTTCTTGTTTTAAAAGTATAGTGAACTTATAGGAGCACATTGTATATTATTTCATAATAATCTTATAATTATTTTATTATTAAACTTATACATTTTTTTATTCTGATATATTCTTTATTTCGTTATCACATATGTAGACATATGTTTATAAAAATTATTATGAAATGTAACGTAAATAACTTATGATACTAGTATAGAAATATGACTCCCGCTATGTAATTGTATATGTGTTATGATGATGAACCAAAGTGTTAAAGTCAATTTGGTTCCATAAACTTCGGTTCTGTTCTTTATAAATAAATTATAAAGTGTACAATATTTTTTCCATATGAAAAAAGCTTCAAATTTTCAAAATGTTTAGAAAACCGGAATTAAGAACCGACGTGAAAGAATGAAGTTTTACAGACCAAAGCCATGATAAGTATGAGTATGTATGTGTGCGATTTGGTGTGTGATATCTATTTAAAAGTATTTGAATGCAGAATGCTTATTATATTTTTGAATATTCATCCGATTTTCGAAGACTCTCCCCAAGTCCCTATTGTACATATTGAAACTATGGTCCTACTGTAATATGTGTCAATACATTTGTTGATGAACATGTGTTTAGTTCTGTTACCTAGGTTCTTTATGCATCGTTAGTCATGGAAAGCCAGGAATATGTCACATGTGTTAAAATATAAAAATACAAATTTGGATATAACTAAATCACTTATTAATGTTGTAGTTTGCTTAATCTGACTGGATGGTAGAACTTGATTGCAATAACCACTGTCGCCATCAAAGAGGGCTTGAAATATTTTCCTTTTTTTCATTCAATTTTTTGACGACCTTCAATGATAAAAATTTCTATTTTGTTATACTTCGAATCTCTTGAATGATTAATAAATAAGTAAATTGATGTTATTTTTGTCTTTATTAAGATAAAGTTTTTCTCCCATCACCAAAGAGTAATTTCATGACAACGTCCGAATTCATCCTGAAATAGAAAAAACAATGCATTAATAAGGGAATTGCCAATCTTTAATTTGAACAATAACAGTACGTAGCTAGAATAAGTTAAATCAATTTCATTTACATATTCTCTGTTTTCATTCGAGAAAATAATGCATGATAAATTAGCGGGCAATTCGAAGATACAACATCCATACATATTAATAAGTATCATATATTATAACAAAAATAAACAATTCAAACATATTTATCTGATTATGGTTTACACATTACAATAACCTAATTATAGTAAGGTATTTTTTTTCCTTTTTGTCCGCAGTGATGTTGTGATTGATAGATTACAGACTTCTGTGTTCAGATTTCTTTTTGTGAAAAAAATTTGGAATAGATTGACATTCGTCATCATCATCAATACCATCATCATCATCATCATCGTCATCATCAATATCATCACCCGCAAATATCATTTTTACAGTCCGGACACGAATGTTGGGTTAGTTGGGATGCAAGGACAGACGGACAGTGCAATTTTGATATGCCGCCCTTCGTGGGCATAAAACGTTGGCATATGTTTGCATTCACTATCATCATCATCATCATCATCAATATCATCACCTACATATATCATTGTCCTAATTATCATAATTATTATTATTAACAATCTTCTTCACGTTATGGTTACTTTTCTTATCTATTTTTATGTTGTGAAAAGGAGTATGAGTGCACTTACAAATACATGTAAACTATTTACACATAGAAGTATAACGAAATAGCATACCAACAATGATGACGTCAGTGCCATTTTGTGACGTCTTTGAGCAATCGGAATTGCAAAGGTCAGCGTCACAACAGGTTTTACATACGGGGGTTGATCGTGATTCTCGTGCATATGTGACGTCAGTTTGCCTCTTGTGCGAAATACACTAAAAATGGAAAGTGTAACACCTTATAAAAACCTGTTTCCGTATCGTTTTTAAATTTAGCACTTATATAATAATAGGAACATGAAATTTTTTATAATATCTTTAGCCTCAGGAAAACCATAGGGCTATTCTACATATATATCAAGAACATAAAAGGTCCAAGCCCTTCATCATGAGTGAGTGTTACAGACTGAATTTGGTGGTACTTATTACTTTAATGGAACTGCACAGCACAATCAAACTAAACCGTTTTTTTTTCATCAAATTTACTGTATCTTATTGTAAGTGCAAGTTAAATCTAGATTCTAAAGATGGCATTTCATCCAAAAACGTAGGAGAAACAATTCCCTTAGCCTATTCTGGTTTATTCTGTTTGTTCAATCATGAGGAAAATTACTTTCTGGTGTAAAGGCTTGTATTCTTAACAAACATCATTTGTCAAAAGTTATTTTGTTAGAGAAAAAGATGATTTTGCAATATAAAATCTGATCTTCATAGCAATGATTTTAAAATTTGGAAACCACTTGATATCAATGAAAAACAAGCACTGTTAAATATGAAGTTTTCTTTTTTCATCAGTAACAAAATCGGTATCAATGTTCCAGAAAGACCAGGCAATCATAAAAACGCTAAAGTGTTGTATTTTATATCAACAATACCTGTTTGTTATGGCATTTTGCTGTGTAATGGTCATATACTCCACCCCAGTCATACTTCTCTACGCTACAAACCTTGAAACAAACAAAAAAATATTTAAAGACATTTTATGTTAGGTTTCTTCGTCACATGATGAACTAACAACAAGTTGTTTTTTTTTCAAATTATTACGTAAAGTGAAACCACGTTCATGATTGGTAGTTTTGAAGCTGTTTTTTTTTGTAAATCTTAAATTTTAATAAAAGAGCATATCAAAATATTCGCCCTTTAGCTGATACGTGGACACACTACCATTATTGCACACAAAAAAAGGATTGAAATTTTTGACTGATGCCAGGAGCGTAATCAAAATATAAAGAATGAAATGTTATTTTTATTAAACTAACAAGGGAAAAAAGAAAGCGATTCATCTACAATCATTAATGTTTTTTCTACAAATTTCTATAGTTATGCACTTCTTTAATACGAAGTGTGTAAAATGATGTCTTACCTCGTCTTTCGAACACAGCCTTACTGTCTTACACTCATCCATATTAGAAACATACGAGCAGTCGTAGCATAACGGTCCTCGTAGTTGAGGGGGAGGCAAACCTGAGAAACAATGGTATGATTGGCAAACTATAATCATTAAACTATGAAGTCCTGCACAATCACAGGACGTTTTAAACTTGTTGGCATATTTTCAGCGCGAGACAAGACAGAATTCCGTTTTAAATTGTTGGCGGTTTTTCTTTTTTTTTGCCAGCGCTGCGTGACAGCAGAACCAATCGGAAAACCTCGGGCTACAACAAGAAGCCACTGGAGAAAGCCGATTGTTCCGTTTGCAGCAGAACAAGATATTTATAACGCACAATTAAAGACATAAACAACGTACCATTATATTTTCTATAAATACCGTTTGAGTATTACGAAAGGAAAAGTTCTATGTATATTAATAGTTATTACATATAAATTTGTTATGGTTACTGACTGCAAGTAACAAAAAACGTCAAAAATTGTTTTCTTTACCCTCAGCTCCACAGCCGTTTGAATTGCAAAGTGATGAAGAGCAGCAGTGAACACATTCGGAAGTACTCTGACTTGTTTGTCGTTTCTTACTAGAACATTGCTGTTAATACAAAATGAATCACAACATATATTGAAAAAAAAACTTTTTCTAATAAAGACATTTTGAATTTACTTTACTATCATCAAATGTTTCTATCGAATGAATTCGTGAATGTTCAACTTGATCACCGTTATATACAAGACAAGTCGTTTACTTTTTTAAACCCCGCCGAATACGGGTTATTATTAATCACAAAAAGTTGAGAAAAGGTCATGGACGAGTGCATTCTTTAACATTTCAACATGTCGGTTTCTCTTTCCTTTAGCATTGTTTTGCCCAAATATACTGTATATATACAAAAAAAATAGTAAATAAAAGACAAAAAGTTATTGTAACATTTACAAAAATATTCAATAATTTTTTCTTGAAGGCCATTTGAAGCTCAAGGTCACGAATTAATTGTCAAGTATTTACTCAAGTATTGATGACTTCCATTAAGTTTCGTTAAAATCCAGTAAGTAGTTGTCAAGAAGTATCTTTGGCAGAATATTTCTCTGTATATATAATATATAACAAATCATGGCCAGTTTTATTTTGGGCATGCAGATAATATGCGCATCTTATCTCATTTGCATTCGGGGAATTAACTTGAAAACAAAATTTGGACGGAAGGATGGACGGACTTCTTTAGGGGATAGACTTATGGGTTTTTTTTTGTCTTTTTTAAATACTTCAATCACTTTTTCATACCCCACAATTTATTTTAAACCTAGAATTTGTTCGGAATGAACTGCATAATGTTAAATTTTATTTTATGCAACACATAACCATAATTATAATGTCTATCCTCTAAGATCGGACGTACGGATCTACGGACTGACAATGACAAAACAATATCCTATTTCATAGTCGGAGGATAAAGACATTTCAATCATGGCCTTAATCATGGCCTTAAAGAAAACATTATCTTAAATACAAGCTTGAAAAAAAATCGATTATATTTTCTTTAAATTTGTATTATGGTGAAAACACAACACATTTCACTCTATGTGTGTATGTGTGCGTGCGTGGTTGTGTGTTTCACTGTGTATGTATGTTTAGTTGATTGTTTGTTTACCTCGGAGGCCAAGCATCCGCTGTTGTACTTCACTTGCCCACTGTTGGTTCTATAGGTCTCCACATGACATACCTTAAAATACAAATCACGTATACCATATTTAAATCGCCTATCGTATGTCTGGTCTACGGTGTTCCGTTAGGATCAGCGCGTTTTCTGTGAGAACGAAAAGCGCGAAGAACGCGATACAATGATGACAGTCCATCGTGATATTGTCACCACCGTACTGACGCGCTTAGCTATCGTACAGCAGTACTGTCACCATCGTACTGCCATGCTTCGCGCTTTTCGTTCTCAGATAAAACGCGCTGGCCATAACGGAATACCGTTTTGCCATGGTCAGACTGCATCAAATAACTACTGTGTTTCGTTAGGGTACAAAAGCGCGACAGTACGATGATGACAGTATGACAGTACCATGGCGACAATGCGACAGTACGATACACTGTCACCGTCGAACTGCCGCGCTTTGCAACACTATTGTCGAACTGTCACCATCGTAATGTCCTACTATTTTTGTTTTAGACCTGAACGGGAACACCGTACACAAAACTCTTAATTTTCCTAAATAGTACATCATTTTAGTTATTATTCACATGTAATAATACAGTTTCAATACTATTTTCATACAAAATTGCAATTGCAAGTTCGTGAATTAAATACATTTTAACCTCAGCAATCCGGCCCTATGTAGAGCAATAACGTCTTTGCAACATTAATATATATGTATAGTGCAGCAGTTTCACTGTATAAATTAAAACACATAGGGACACATAAGTTCTTTACCATTAAAGCTTGAATGTCGTCGTTTGCTGTTTACAGTGTAAATATAACTATAAGTCTACAAATGGTTATGATATAAAAATGTCCAAAAAAAAAAAAAATTAAAATTAAAAAAAAAAATTTATACCTGGCCACTCGAACATTTAGTAACGGTGTCACAGAGGTACAAATGTGTCATATCCTTACAGTCGAAACACCTTAGTTCGTCATTCCCTATGCTTTCTGATAATAAAAACAATATGGAAAGAAATACAATTGAGTAATACTATGACAATGTTTAAAAAAATTAGGTTTTTATTAATTTTGCGAACATGTTATAAATATTGTATTCCAAATCAATGATAATCCGGTTTGTATTTATTAAATGTTACCAGCACTTTTATTGTGTGGCCGAGTGGTTAAGGTAGTTGACTTCAAACAACTTGTCTCTCACAGCTGTAGGTTCAAGCCACACCAGCATCTTCGGACTCTTTCATGTGAGAAAGCCAACAGAACACTTCAACAGATAGAAAATGTATTATGATAGTGACAAATACGGCACCTTAATACCGGACTATTTTTCACGTTGGTCATTTATAACTGTGTATAATGTAGCATTTGGTAAAGGAGACAAAACTTTTGGAGACGAAAATTACGTATTCATCCGTCACTCGTGAATTTTATATCTTGACAGTTATATTTCAGTTTCTACAATAACTAATAGAAGTTAGATATTTTGGTTTTACTCTCATTGTCTTTAAACGTATTGGTTTGTTGCAGTCATGTTTTTTTTCCTACACGCAGCGTTTGAAATTCGACCTTCGGTCTCGAGAGATATCAATTTTCCAACGTTGCGAGCAGCAAAATACAAAATCTCAGAAAACTACTACAACATGATATTCAGAATATCTAGAATGAAATATTTTTTATAAAATTTATTAGAGGTAAATATTATGTTATTTCCATAATATCATGGTTGAATCTCAAAAGAGTTGTAATAAAGAATGCCTCACATGCATATTGTATGTATTTATAAGTAAAATGAAATAAGCCGTATAATAATATTATCAGATTATATAGATTTTAATCGTTTATTAACGATTTCATACATGCGCTTTAGCAATTACACACATATTTCTTTCATACATATATTTTGAAATTATTATTTTTAAAAACTTCAAGCATAATATTTAAACTTCAGGCAGCAGACATATAGTTTAAACACATAAAGTAGCTTTTAAAAAAGTGTGTTGTAGTCTCAAAACTTATCCATCAAAATGATGATTATTAATAACAAAATCCGCAATTACTCTCACCTTCACACAGAAATTACTAAACGATCCCACATCACCCGCCATTTATAACCCCTCTCTGTTTAAACAACCTTTCTTAACATTTGATATTCCTTTATTAAATACTGTATGTTTAGATATTGTTTAAATGATACATTATCATGCAAAAACAGTAATTTGTACTAAGAAATGAATGATGTGAAACGAAACATTACTATCCCAGTTAACAGTTCATTAAACATTTAATCATGTATAACAAGAAAACAACTCTAACAAATTAGTACTTATTCGTGAAATGAGAACCAACTATCTGGCTGCAGTTATTAATTATAAATTTAACTTATTTCTAAAAAATGTACTTGCATTTAAATTTTACCTTTGTAAACTTCTATTCCCAGTGGGTATCCGTAAGCATAATCTAAATCACCAAAGCCATACTGTATTGCTCCAAATGTCCTACTTGTCACGTGATACAGATGATATTCGCCGGCTGACAATTTGTATACATTAACAGTAAACGTCTCATTGTTTGCGTGTGTCACATAGCTATGAAAGATATTCCCCATTTGGTTTCCATTGATTCGAAGTCCAGCTATATCCTCAGTTTTTGCAATGATTGTAAGATAATGAGTAAAAGGTTCATTGGTTGCAATCACGGAGAAATGATAGGAGTTTCTATATTGATTGATTGCCGGAACTATAGACATAAATCCGTTGCCAGTATTAGCATCATTCTTACATGTACCGTACAACATGACTTGAACAGGTTGGTTTGCAGAAACATACATTGCGCCATTATCACTTAAAATTTCATAAAAATCACCAGCTTTCAAAAGGAGTTGCTTATTTTGATTCGTTGTATCTCGAAATGTTATAGATGTGTTTTGAGATGAGCTATATATTCGCACTACATATTGTGATTTTGGCGGTACCGGGTGAACGATAAATTCTTGAGCAAAATGTTTGGTAGGTAAAAGTTGTTCCACGAAATATTCTAAATGACCACATGTCGTTTGTGAAGTTCCAGCTTCGTGTCCAGAGAAGACGGCAACAGGTTTATTACTGAAAACAACAGCTCCACTTAAATCATTTAACCGTCGAACGAGATACGTATCAAGTCTATTTAACGTGACTCTTAATGTATTGTTGTCTATATTTACGTTTATAGATGTGTTGTCATGTACTGCTAGGACAAGAAAATTACTGTTATATGAATAACGTTGAAGCGAGTAGCCTGACGAGATTATATATTGAGAAGATAACATGGTAGAAGGTAGTGCTAAAAAACCTTCCCATGTACTGGTTGGATATTTCATAACAGTAAGTGTGACGTCGACATCTGTTGTCACGTGTATACCCTTGTGTTCCACTGTTGTATTTACATTGGTTATGGTGTCACCAGTTACCTTGTACTCTAAACTTTGATTAAAACTACGTGTTGTGTTGATGCCTAAATATGGTATGTATATTGTCGCTGATCCAGCCGTATTTGAGGTAATAAGAAGTGAAAACTGTGGACTATTGTTCCACGCTTTTGGTACACCTATATAAAAGTCTCGACCAAAAGAACCTGAAATAGACATGTAAACGCAATGGTCTAGAATCACGAGAAATATCATAGCGTATTTACATTTAAAATGATCTTGCCAAAAACGGAATTAGTAACTGAGCTAAATGGATTGAAGAGTTTCATTCGTTCATACACATATAATTAAATAAAGAATTAATATTAAAGTGTGTAACAACAATAAGAGATTCCATCCAACAAGAAAAGTTAATAAGATAAAAGAATAATGAGAATTCATAGAGGATATTGAATGAGTTAAGGTTCAATACTGAATTTATTGAACGAGTTGAATAAAATTATATTATGTGAGCCTGCGAGCCTCTGGCGATCTAATTATTATTTTATTCAACGAGTTCAATAAATTCAGTAATGACTCAATACGAATATAATATTGTATTTATCACATACCAAAAATAAAGACTGTTTAAAGTGCAAAAGAATCATTTTTCATAAGCTGACATTTAGCGCATTTTTACACTCTGTTTGTATAACGTAAATGGCGTCACGTCAGAAAATATGCACGGCCGTGCAATACTTTATTTACAGAGTCGCAAAATTGGCACGGGTATGTGATGAAATTGTATATGTTAATCGTCGGACGAGTGCTTAGATTCATTTGTTTATGACAGTCGTTTCGAGGAAAGCTAGTCTATCACATACCCGTGCTGTAAAAATAGTATTGAACGGCCGTGCATATGTTTTGTCGTGACATTTGCGTTAAATTCAAACATAATGTAAAGACCCGTTAAATGTTAGCGTTACACTATAGGTGCGTCAATAAAAAATAATTCTTTTTTCACATTAAACAGTCTTATTTTGGGTATAGAATATTAAATTACAGATTCAAATGAGGTGATTTACAATTTCAAATGAGGTGACTTACAACCAAATGACTTATGCAAATAATCATAAAGGTGAAATGACAAACAATTATACAACTCAAAATTTACTAAGGATCACCGTTTTGACAGTGCATATTTCATTCCTATTATAATCATATTAAAATTCTATTTCCGATACACCTGTATGGGAACCTTATAATCGTGAACTTAAGTTATCGATTTGCCATGTACATCTTGCACGATAAGCACGTGGAAAAGCATACCCATGGAAATTTGGTGTTTTATGGCCATGTGCTTTCACTTAAACGTGTATAAGCAGCAAGACGACTCTCGTTTTATTGTAAAACTGGTGTGCGTGTAAGGACAAAATCTGTTAGAAACAGGTTGCATGATGCTGGGTTGGGGTCACGGAGGCCAGCGATTCGCATTCCTTTGACACAACGCCAAATTCAAGAGCGTTTGCAATGGGCGCAGACTCATGTCACATGGACAGTTAATGATTGGACCCCGGTCCTCTTTGCTGATAATTCAAGGTTTTGTGGGGACTTCACGGACAGACGGGCTAGGGTTTAAAGAAGTCCAAATGATCACTTAGCTCCAGCATGCGTTGCAGAACACGACCGTTTTGGCGGGGGTTCAGTCATGGTGTGGGCGGCAATAAGCGCTCAGGGGAAAACGCACCTACACATTGAAAACTGTACACTGACGTCAGTATGGTACGTCAATGAAATCTTAGACGTCCATGTACGCACGAACGCTGGCGCAGTCGGCTCTGATTCATTCTTATGGATGACAACGCCCGTGCACAGAACAGAGCCCACATCACAAATTGATATCTTGAGGAGGCAACTATAGTCCGCATGGATTGGCCAGCGAGGTCCCCGGATTTAAATCCAATTGAGCATGCTTGGGATATGCTGCAGAAAGCCACATCCAACCAAAACTTTCCGCAACAGGCACACGTCAAGGAACACTTACATTGTCATTATTTTAGTAAAAATCGATTCCTTACTAATTATATTTAATTCCTTTTAATCAATTTTCACATTTATTACAAATACACAAAAGTAACGCACTGCAGAAAAAGTGATCCTTAGCAAATTTTGAGAAGTATACTTAGCCATGTTCTAATAAATAGAGGACATTGAATGAGAGTAAGTTCAATACTGAATGTTTTGAAAGAGCTGAAAAAAATTATATTATGTGAGCCTCTGGCCTCTCATTAAATTCATGTGCTGATGACATGGTCAAACAGAATTCTACGGTATTTTTTCATATATGTAAAAATTGTTTGAAAACCAGTTTTATCTTTGTAATAGATTCCCATTCGTGTTTAAATATTAAAATAGTTTTGATAGATTGTTTACGTTGGGGTAGGATCTGACCCCAAAGCGTCTGTGCAAAGTTTCTTGTTGATACCTCTTGCGGTTTCAGAGTTAACTGTTACATTCCTTGTTTTGGCAACAGCGAAAACTTTAAACGGCTACGTTCACTGAATTATAACATATAGCTAGCTGATTGGTTTATTTGTCTGGGGTTTCCATTTAAAACAAAAGTGAAAGGGCACAACAGAGGGAAATGCACATAGTACTTTTTTATTTTTTACTTTACTGATTTCTGTTACAAAATAATAATGAAGTTGAGATAAAACATTTATAATATATGCAATTCGTAAGTTACAGGGGTATAACAGTGGCTGGGGCGACATTGAGGGATGTTTCTGTTTGGCCTTGGCCTTTTTTTTAACAGAAACATCCCTCAATGTTGCCCCAGCCACTGTTATACTCCCGTTACTTACGAATTTCAAATACTACAAGTACAAATGTTGCTGCAATGCAGCAATTGAGAAGCTCCGCGCAAAAAAAAAATGTGCTCATTACAGATACCTTACCAAATTATTCCTACGCACAGGTCATGTTATATTCAGATTAAGTATTATTAGATTTTTTCCGAATGTTCTGTAAACCATTTTTTGCATAATTATACTTATCTTATGCACTGTCCATAACAGTCCATCGTTAAAAAGAGGGGAAATATTTAATATAAAAAATGCTTTCACTGATGCCTACCTGGTAAGGAAAGTAATTCAATTGAATACAAACAAGACTTACAAGAATTATAAATGTTATGTGACATGACTGTACTGTGTTCTGTTTCAGTAACAGAAGATAGATGATAGAAATATCAGTCTGTTATAATTGTAACAAATATACAAATTGTAACAAAAAGGACTAATATTATAATATTTAGTTATATTACATATATATTTTTCATGTCAAATTAAAAAAATGGTTTCTTTCAATACTGAAAGTAGAACACACTCTGGAATGAAAAAATGGGATGAATTTCCAAAAGACCAAATTCAGGATTTTTTGTTATACACGCGTTACATGGTGATACAGTATTTATCAATATAATAGAAGACTGTTACCTGAATTTAAGGTAGGTATGAGGAAATTCACTTATATCATATTCGTGCAAGACAAAGATATGAAAGCTATTTGACATTGGTGATATACAAAAAAAAACTATTGTAAATTAATTTTTAGGGAGATCAATATATATTTTATGTTGAATTGCTTTAAAACCATTCATAAAAAAACATTACACTTCATGTTCAAACTGCAGATCAATGTTTCTGTTGTTGTCATGATATCTATCTATAACCTATGCTTAAGGTGATTCCGCTTTGTCAGTCACGTTTGTTTTAACTAAAGTCTGTCCAAAGTGAAAGTAGGCCAAAATTCATATAACAACAAAGCTCTTATTGTAAAATGATAAACGATTTGAAAATGCACTTCCAGGTTTATATTTTAAGGACAATTATAAACAAAAATAAAAATGATAACAATAAGAACATTTACCTTGAATGTGCTACATTTCTAAAGACCAAAAACATTCTGTTGCAAAGTTTTATGCACATTTCATGTATTGCAAAATCCTTTTAAAAGTCTGTTTTATTGCCAACAAAAGCTATTTTTTGCAGCAAATACAAAAATCTTTCAAAACTTAATTCCAAATAAATCAGTATCTCATGTCCTTCTAAGCACATGGCCTCCATTATTTTTTGTAAAAAGTAGTGCTAGAAAACAATCATCATTTATAGCCTTATGAACTACAATTAAAATGAAAACACAATCAAACTTTAAAATCTAACCTTTTTATGTGTAACAGGGAAGTGTGTCTGTTTGTCATGTACACAAGAAATAGGTAAATGATGTTTATTTTCATGGTACTACTTTTTTACACACGCCATGGAGGCCATGTTTTTGGCTTGCAGCAGCCCATTTGTTTTGGAAAAGTTGTTCCGGTTAGGTGGTTTCCTGCTTACATTTGTTAGTGCATGATTGAACGAGAAACCAGCTGCAATCGTGCCAATCGCAACTTTTTGGCCCTTTCCGTCACTCTTCTGTTTAATGATTATAGCCGATGTAGTTCCGATTGCAATCGTGACAATTCGGGCGATTCCGTCATACTGCGGAATCAGACGAAGTAATATTACGGAAATCTAAGCTATTTTAGTTACTTCGGTAATCCCAGTTTGTTTATATAAATAGGATTTCTATTTTTACTTGATTTATCGGTTTAAACCGTAATAAATTATAAACGAAATTGTTCCGTTTCAATTCTTTTTCAAGACGCAAAAGTTAGTTTCTTTTATAATTGTTTTTGTCTGTATTAGTTTTATATACAATCAGGTACGTATATTAACATATATACCTGATACAATAAAGGATGGTTACGTCTCCAAAGGGTGGTCTTGCTTACCAAATCACACAGAATATTAGTGCATGATCGAGTTATATTTAGATCTAATGAACGCAGTGAGGTAATCTAAAAATAGCCCATGCATATCATTAACCTTACCACGTTAGCGCATCGTATCTGTGGTCGTGTAGCATAGTTGATACATGCTTATCCACGTAACGAAGTATTTTAGTGCATTTACTTGTCCATAAAGATGCTATATAAATGAAATTAGCAACTGCCAAAACGAATGATTTCTCTGGAAATGAAATGTGCACACTTGTTTCCTTTTCAGTATGATAGAATAGTTAGTATTTTTATGATTGATTATTTTCTTTATAAGTTTTATACAATAGAGAATAGATTTCAAATCGTTTTGACAAAAAATATTCGTTTTTACAAAAAAAAAACAAC